TTAACAAGGGAGATTAAAACATTTTGTAGTTTTTGCGCAACTTCTTGTTGAACGTTACAAAATAACTCACAGCTAGAAGATTAAACTTGGCGCTGCAAAAAGTGGCAAAAATTATCTAGTGATTATGTCGGAAAATGAAGCACAGCGTTGTATTAATCCGTTTTAATATCAAAAACCTAGTAGAAAAAATGGCGTTGTTCTACGAAGGATTAGAAGAAAGATGCATGGGTCTTAAAAAATTATGGACTAGGATGACGATGTAAAAAAAAAAAAAAAAAAGGAAAAATGAAAGATGTTCGGAGAAGGGTGGGGGAAGCGGATTTTGATGCAAAAGGCGATTGCCGCCGATTACAGTTGAAATGTTTTGACTGGTAGAGATTATATTTCTTACCTTTACGTATAGCTTATACAGTAGCCTCATTCCAAATTAAGCTTTTTTTAAATAGAAAAAAAAATGTACTCGTTTCGTTTAAAAAATGGATAGAAAAAAGAATATTTTATAGAGTGCTTAAAGATATTTATGGAGTTTGACACGTTGTTAGGTGACAACTTGTAGATAAAAATGAGATTAAAATGAATAGATTTAAAAATTTCAGAACTTAATGATGTTTATTTGGTTATTTCTATTTAAAAAAGATATGTTAGGCTTAGCAAAGTAATAAAATAAGTATTGTTATTTTTAATTTGTTTTGGAATAACGCGTATTCAAAACTTTCGATTTTTTTTCTCTATTAGGAATAATGGCATTAAAAATAGTTAAGTTAATAGTTTTTCACTAGTTAAGCGACGAATTTTTGTTAAACGATTCCTCTATGAAAGGTTTTAGGCAATATAAGGAATAAGCTACACTTTTTACAAAGAAGTCATTTTTACATCAAACTGCTCTTTAGCATTATTTCCTGTTAGGTAACTTTTCAAATTTATGAAATTTCTACTAGATAGCAATATAGTCTTCAGAATATTAAAGAACGCTCTCCAGTACAATTTAAAAATGTACAAATTATCATTACATTGCTCCAAGTCTTTCATATCATTCAAATTTTTGCGATAATTTTATTCCATATAATCCAAATATTTCTTTCCTACTTAGGGTTATAGACACATTTATTTTTCGTAAAATTTTATTGCGTAAAAATAGTTTCATATATTTTAGACTTTTATGGATTTATTGTCATATTTTAAGTCATTGTTAATTTATTGTAACATGCAATGCAGCTAGTCAAGAACTTTTCTTTAAAATTAAAAACATTGTATTTATTCAAAATGACTACGGGGAAAGCCAATGTATTCTCAAAATGTAATCTAAGAGAAATTTCGTTTAAGAAAAATTTTTCAAGCTATTTATTTTGCTTACAATCTTTTATGAGCAATTTCTAGATTAAATTCATCCTATAAACGTTTCATACAGATTGTAAATATCTTTTCCGTATTTCAACAGTAATTTTCTAAGTTGAGTAATAACTATTTAATGGATTAGCCTAAATTTGGCTTTTATTAACTTGTCAATTTCCAGCATTTAATGGACATAGGTAAATCTTTTTTATCACGCAAGTGTTAAAAAAGCAGGGTAGCGCATAGTTGCTGTTAAACAATCATTTTAACCATTATAAAAGCAGCTACCTATTTCTAATTGTATTTCTTTCTTTGAATGTACTTAGCTTAAGTCATCTTTTATGAAAAAAATCGAATAATAAACACCATTTAATATCAAATATCATTACCCTCATATATAAATATCCTTTAAGATTGATACGCTGTTAATTGGTTCAATCTTCTTATATCTTGTCTTGTATATGTGTTCATGAATTTTGTGTTTATTTTTTAATCTTTAAAATGATGGAAGATTGAGTAAAGCGTTGTTCTTTAGAATTTTATTAGCTGTGATTTTAAATTTTATGGTTTTCGCCTACTTTTGCTTGCTAATTTAACTGCTGTGTATTGTTTGTTTTTTATTTTAAGTTTACGTCATATTTAGTTTGGAATAATAGTGTAAGTTATGATTTATTTATATTATTATTATATTTATACTATTATATTTATATTATTATTATTACATTTATTATTATTTAAAAAAAAACGAATTTTGTTCCAGGCATTTGATTATTTTCATATATGAGATACATTTTATTAGTTCAAAATCATTTTAAAACATGAATAAGTTTCAAATGCTATTTGGTTAGTGATAAACATTTTGAACTTTTTGCTGTTATTTTTCAATTATCTTGGGAATACAGGCTTTTTTTATTAAAAAGTAAGAGTCAAAAGTTGTTTTATTTTTGCATAGAATAAGATATTAAAATAAAAAGCACGTTTAAAAAAAAAGGAAAAACTCTATTTGACTGAGTTTTTTAAAAATAATTGTTTTTATTTTCTAAAAATATATTTTTCAAGATGCTGTAAAAATTTTATACTAAACAATTCGAAAAGTTATAATGATTATTGGAGCAAACAATAAAAATAATAATGAGTTATTAAAATGTGTGTTTTTTTTTTACCGAGAATTATTTTTGAATAAACGAGTTTTATAATTGTGTTCAAAATATTTTTGATTCACTTTTATAGTTACAAAGATATGAAGAAATGCGTAAAAACCGGGAAGAATATAATTGATAATAATAGGCTAAAACTTTTGATCGCTCTCCTAATTAAACTATTGAGACCATATTTTCTAGATTATGGTTACTTCTAACCTTTTGTTGAGAAATGAAATTCGAAGTCGGTATAAAAAGTAAGAAAGTAAATACGTTTAGTGTCTGTTTTCGTAACTTAAATTATCGTTTGCACTAAGTAATTAGCAAGTTTAAGATTAGAATTGAATCATCATAGTACGTGGAAATCTATAAATTGGATCAAAAGATATTTAAGTCTAAAGTTTTCCCCTACACAATACATATGGAACAAGGCATGAAGTACGTGTGTGAATAAAAGTAAAGAAATTTCTTGACTTTGTAACTAACAGCTTTGCAACAATATAAAGGATTTGAATTCGATCTTATCTATCTACCGGTTCGATCTATCTATCGACGTATTAAAATTAGGATTTATTAGCAAAACAAATTCTGTTTATCTACATACATATGAAATATTATGTTGATAAGCAAAATTTACATCTGTTCTAACAAAAATTATCTTAAATATTTTTTCTTCTTTTATTTCTTTTTTTTTATTGATCCAATAACTTGTTTTTTTCTTTCATAATGTAATGTTTTTCTTTGTGAAAAATTATTAAAAAAGTTTAATGCTTCATGTGGTTATGCAGTTTTGTCTTACATTTTAAATTCTTTTGTGTCATCAACTTAAATTTTTTTAAAATTACATTTTTCAATATCATCAGGGGTTTGTTTAGAAGAAATTTGGGTCCGTTAACGGACCCTTCACAAAATATCTTTTCATAAAAACGGACTTGATGACCTAAAAAATCTCA